ATAACCACATCCGTGTCGATGTCATCACGGGCGGCATGCGCTGGGGCACCAGCACAGGAAACCCAAGCCACAACACCGTCCACCATCAAGTGTGAGCGCCTGATCCTCGATCTGTCGGCTTCGCCCAGGGCGCACGGACGAGTGACTTGCTTGGCCCACTCGTCGGCCTCGAGGTTACCCCGTCGCTCCCAACGAGACAACCGTCCTGATTCTACATCTCGCAGAGTGCCGTGCCCTTTCACTTTGAGCACGGTGAGCCCGTCAGGGCCAAGCCCACCAAAGTCTTCAATAGCACTCCAAACCATACGCCACAAAAAAGCACAGCTGTGAGAAGCACCGCGCGTACCCTCAGGTCCACGCACCAGAAGACCGTCAACCACGTAACTGGCATCAATCCTCACAGTGATGGGCGCCAGGCTGTGACGCAGAAGAATGAGCACTGCGAGGAGCTCAGCACCTTCAATAGATTGATGCATCCCCATCAGCGGCGACCCCAAGGCGCGAATGGCACACTTCGGACCAGGATCGAACCAGCCAGGCCCGAAGGGTATCTGCACCACCGCACAGCCAGCCATGCCGTAGTCGAGGTCGAGGTCGAAGGCCGAGCCATCGGTGAACAGCTCGTCGTTGTGAAAAGGCATGGCACCATTCCCCAGCATCCACTTGACAGCCGGAAGAATCTCGTCCTGGTGTGGCTGCCACACCACCTGCGGTCGTGCTAGCAACAACCGTTCGATCAGCGTGACGATGTTGGGGTGGTCCGCCTGCCTCTGGAGCGTGGCGATGGCAGCTGGCAACTCCGCCTGCGGCCAGTGGTGAGCACACCCCATATGACGATGCCAAAGCGTACCGACATGCCCTGGGCACAACTTGCAGTCTTCTGAACGAGCATACCGAGGTTCATTGTGAAAGCGGCGATGGTTGGTCCACTGGCCGCCGACGATGGGCGACCTGGCATACCGCCGCTCCTCTGCACCAAGGGTGGGCCAATCACGCCCTTCCGACGCCGTCGGCCGTCCTCGATGAATCCACTTCCTCAGTTGCGTGATGTTGAAACCGTTAACCAAATGCGGCAACTCGTCAGCAACCTTCTGAAACTGCCACCAAAGAACTGCTTTCCGAACCACTTGCTTCGTATACCACGGCGAGAAGTCCAGCAGCTTATACACTGCGCCAGTCGCCGAGTTGATCCAGGTGCTGATGCTGGCCGCCGCCCAGCCGACGCGCAGCAGGGACATGAAGGCAGCGCTGATGGGCCCACGAACGTGAGCCCGAGACTTCACATGAGTGGAGGTCCACGCCAGCACAGAAGACATAATGGATTGAGGCACCCACTCGTCCCAGACTGCACGATGCAACATACAAACAGGATCGATGGTGGCTCGAAAGATAGGGTCGAGCTCACGCACAGGCGACAACATGAGACAGAGCGTGCGACTCTTGCCGTCCACTCGGGCCTCCGTGCAACGGAAGGCAACCGAACGGGCAGACTGAAGGTCGGCGTCGCTGAGCCCCGTGCAGTTCACACTGTACGCGTAACCTGCCTCGAGGCCCTGCTTGGCGATGCGGGCAGCGATAGCACGTCGACCTCTATTTCCCAAGAGTCGCCGTACTCTAGGTGCCCGTCGCTCTGCTGCACGAAGGCGCGCTCGTCGCACCTGTCGCCCAATCGCGCGCCCTTGAGCGAAGTCCGTGCCGAGGTTCCTCGCGTGTCTGGCGGCTTGAGCACCAGTGATCGCGATCAGCTTGGCCTTCAGAGTCTGGGTGAGGGCCGTGCTCGAAGAAAGAACCTGCGACTTCTTGGCAGCGATGCGGATGCTGTCCCTGCTGAGACCGTTCACCAGCACCTGCGCCGCCATGACGATGTCTCGGCACACCCTATGCTCTCCACCGTGCCGCTGGAGGACCAGGTCATCGACCACGATGGCGGGCGACACCGTGGGCACGACCCGCTGCATGCGATCAACACTTTCAATCAGCTGCAGCTTCATGAAGGCGGTGGCGAAAGAGTCGCCTGCGAGCACAGTCTGGTGCACGTAGACCAGGTCGGAGACAGCGCCATCCAAAACAAGAGCACGTGCCTTGGCATAGACATCCAGTTGCAATTTCAACAGCCACAAGGGAAAAGAGAACTTCTGAGCCAACCTCAACAAATGGTCATGCCTGATCTGCTCGAAAGCTTTCCACCAATCCAGTTGCAACGTTGCTGTGGCCCAGTCAGCGCTGGGATCCTCATCAATCTTCATAGAGACCCACTCGCTCCAGACCAGCTGTTGCCATACAGCACGATCACAGCTCTTGCCAGCCGACGCCCACCAGTAGCCGCGATCGTGGGCGGCCTCCCACACTGCGGCTATGGGCCGACGCAAACGCCCATGCACCCGAACAAGCGCGGCAAGGAGGGCGATAGGCCGCACTCCACCTTCACGCTTGGGAATAAACGCAAGCTTGTTGATAAAATCTGGCCAGCAACATTGCCGCTCGACCAACTCGAGGAGATCTGCGAGCGCCTCTAGGCCGACATCGTCCAGCACACCGAAGTCGCGCGGATTAAGACTGTCGAAGCTCCGCCCTCCGTGGACCTTGAATGTCGAACAGACCCGTCGCAGCTGATCCGGGGTCGGCCGCTCGGGACGCTCGCCGAGGTCGTCAGGCCAAACCAAAATCGGAGGCGAAGCCGAGGTCCGCCAGTACTCATACCATTCGCACACTAGCGCCTTGACCGCCTCCATCTTGCCGAGCGGCACCTCGACCCCTTGGATCGCGGAGGCGTTGGCCGCAGGCTCCTTCGTGAAGGCATGCAGCGCCGCCCCCCCGTCAACAGAGTGCGCGTCGATCCAGTCCCCGAAGCGGGCCTTCGACTCCTGCACGTCGGCGGTGACGGCGTCGTCCGCGATCTGCTTGGTGATCGCCGCCAAGCACTCGAGCTCGACGTGGCCCATGTACCCTCTCGCGCGGCAGAAGAGCGCCACCGCCTGGCACCGCATGCTGGCGGGTGGCCGCTGCGCCCTGCGCTCCAGGGCCCGCTGACCCCGCACGCGACGGATGGGATCGGCACTGACCCCATCGGCGGCAGCAAGAGCCACGCCCTTCAACCACATCGCAGGCCTGCTCACCTTCGGAATGCGAGGCGCCGAAGGTGGGCACGCGCGCGCCCAGCCAAGCTCGGGCCCGTGGCCTCGCCCACCGTACATGCCGATGTCGAGTCCGCTGAGGTCACACAGGTAGCGCTCCGTGACGCCGATGAACTGCGCCCAGGCCCTGTTCACATCGGTGGTGACATCGCGCAGCGCGAGCCAGTCCTCAGTGAAGTCCCGCGTGCAGCAGCCAGCAGGAAACGGGCTGGGAAAAGCTTTGGCCGTGCGCATCACCTGTACCCAGTCGTCGATCTGGGCGCCATCGATCGTGAGCCTGACTGGCCGATGCGGCCCAAACTCCCAATCATGTAGGACCTCGGCGCTGGCCACGCGGAAATGCCTGGACACGACGAAATAATCAATGACCTGCTCCGAGGGCCTGCACGCGCCCGAGGGCGGCGCCACGACGCGCCCGCAACGCCTCTCGAGAAAGGAGGACTGCATGAGGGTGGCTGGCTCCATGTTGAAGTCGCCACTGATGATGAAAGGGCGCCCGAGGACCTGCAACATGGTGGATACCTTGTGCAGAATGCTCTCGTTCGCGCGCGAGAGCCCCTCGGCCGTGCGCAGGTAAACCGTGACCAGCACCATGCCCCCCGAGCAGAAGCCAGAGTGATGAACGAAGGCCGCGCGCCCGACGTCGATGATCGAGCTACCGACACCCTCGAACTGCCCCATGCCGTGCACCCGCGGCGCCAGCAGGAGGAGGCCTCCATGCCCAGGAAGCCCAGGCCCCGAGCCTTCAGCAGGGGCTGCGTGCGCATGCCAGCCGAGCTTGGCCAGCCTCGCCGACACCTCATGGCTGCGCTCCACCGTGAGGTGCGTCTCTTGGACGGCAACAAAGTCGGCCCGACGGATCTCCATACGGCCCAACAAGGTCTCAAAGGTAGAGTAGGCGTTGGCGTTCACCGTGGGGCCAACCCAGGAACGCCGCTGCCGTGGACCACTAAAGGCCCGTTCTCCTCCGCTTGGCCTCTGCACGGAGGATCTCGAGCGCCTCCAGGAGCCGCTTGCGCTCGTCGGCACTGGAGGCCCCCGCCAGCAGCCCACCAGGATCGTCCCCATCAAGATGGTCGCTGAAATCGCCACGAGCATCACCCTCCATGGCAGCATCGCCGTCCGCCCCCGCGGCAGCCGCTGCGCCACCGTCGGCACCTGGCGCGCCGCCGCCGTGGGCGCCGCCGCCTGGTGCTGGAGCCTCGGCAGGGGGAGCTGCAGTGTGCTGCTTCTGGGCGAACTCGTTGACGGCCTGAGTGACCCTCCCGAAGATGGCCTCAGCTGTGTCGCCTTGGCCTGAGCTGGACTGCAACTGCTTGAGCTGCTCGAGCAACGGGCTGATGTCGATCTTGGGCGGCGCTGTGGAAGCACCAAGGGCCTTGGCTGCTTCCTCCTTGGCCGCGGCGAGCTCCTTCTCCAGGGAAGCAACGGCCATCTGCTGCTCCTGCAGGGCGACCATTGCCTTGGCTGCGCCCCCCTTCGCCTTCTGCAACTTCTGCTGCCCAGCAAGCAAGGATTCCGCAGCCCTCTCCACATTGTTGTTCTGAGAGACGCCTGGGGTCCATCCTGCCGCTGCCGCCGTTCTCGCATACTGAACACGATCGCGGCTGGACTGAGACAGAGTGGACTTGACCAGATCCCAGGCTTCTTGAGTAAGCTCCACATACGATTTAACACCAGCGTCATCAAGTGTAGCACCTGCAGCACCCCGCCGACGAGGCGGCTTAGCAGGCTTGAGTTGCGGAGCACCTTGAGCCCACTTGCCACCTGCGGAATGCCACGGACGCCGAGCGGGTCCAGGGCCTGGCCGAACTCCGCTGCACCCCGACTGGGCACACTTGAACTTGCTGATCGGATTGATTTTCGGGCAACACGGACATTTCCAATGCGTCCCGACATTCGCCATCGCTGTGCCCTCACGGGCAAGAGAAGCAATCTGCAATCCGAGCCACTTCAACTCGGTACAGCAAGAGCCGCTCTGAATGTTTGCTGCACCAAGCCCACCTGGGCCAGAACGGCTTGAGCCAAAATGGCTACGGATGTGTGTGTGCGTGTGTGTGTGCGTGTGTGTGTGCGTGTGTCTGTGTGTGTGCGTGTGTTTGAGTGTGTGTGCGTGTGTGTGCGTGTGTGTGTGTGCGTGTGTGTGTGTGTTCGTGTGTCTATGTGTGTGCGTATGTGTGTGTGTGCGTGTGTGTGTGTGTGTGTGTGTGCGTGTGTGTGCTTGTATGTGTGCGTGTGTGTGCGTGTGTGTGCGTGCGTGTGTGCGCGTGTGTGTGCGTGTGTGTGCGTGTGTGTGCGTGTGTGTGCGTGTGTGTGGTGTGTGTGCGTGTGTGTGTGTGTGTGTGTGTGGTGTGGTGTTGTGCGTGTGCGTGTGTGTGCGTGTGTGTGTGTGTGTGTGTGTGTGAGTGTGTGTGTGTGTGCGTGTGTGTGTGTGTGTGTGTGTGTGTGTGCGTGCGTGCGTGTGTGTGTGTGTGTGCGTGTGCGTGCGTGTGTGCATGTGTGTGTGTGCGTGTGTGTATGTGTGTGCGTGTATGTGCGTGAATGTGCGTATGTGTGCGAATATGTGTGTGTATGTGTGTGTGCGTGTGCGTGTGGGTGTGCGTGTGTGTGTGTGTGTGTGCGTGTGTGTGCGTGTGTATGTGTGTGTGTGCGTGTGTGTGTGCTTGTGT